TATAAAAAGCAAATTGAACTGGAAAAATCGAATAGTGAAGAAAAAAGGAAAAAATACCAGGTGGAGGTAGAGCAAGAAGTGTTGAAGCAAGAGGAAGACTTTGTACAAGCCTCTGATTGCTACAAATCGAGATAGGAATTAGAAAAGAAAACACGTGTAAATCAAGAGATGCATATGAACGTCTAAGAGTGGTACCTCAAGAATAGGTGTTGAGGAAGGAGGTACAAAATCGACATTCGTCGATATGGTCGCCGATGTACGACCCTGAAAATATCAATCAATTTAAGTCATACGATAGGCTTTGTCGAAATTTAGGAATATCAAGTTTGTGTAAAAAAGGGACTCACATGGCTCGATTGAGTGGCGGAGTAGTTTGGTCCGTGGTAGGGACCGTGTTAGAGTCCGTCGACAAAGGATCGAGAATAGGTAGTCGGACGGATCGAGGACTCTTTGATTTTTTCTCGAAAAGTTGAAAGCAAAAAGAATTATATATAGGAATCCTAAGTAAATCAACCATCGACAAAAATGTGAGACAATGAGAAATCGAAAAGAACCTTCAATTTTTTCAAGAGGAGGTAGTGGTGGCCGATTGTTTTCGCTTCCGGATAAGGGCCGTTGGATCGACTCATCGAAGAATCCCGCTCTTTCTCCTTCTCAGCAATGGTGACTTTGGAAGACTTTGAAACTGTCGAGAATAGAAGATAATTAGTTGCTAACGTAAAGAGTTAAAAAACATGGAAAAACAAGTAAAGCCTCACCAAAAGTGATGGAGTCAAAATTTTGACTCGATCGATATGTACTAGCCAAGGAGGCAGGAGGTCTTCGGGAAAGTTAAGGTAAGGAAAGTAAGACAATTTCGAGACCGAAATGTCTTTGTTTTTGGGTTTTGGGCGAAGTGTTTCCCGTAGGGATCTCAATTCTCGAACCCATTTGGGATGAGTTAATGGTTTGGCAAGTCCAAAAGGAGCTGTGGGAAAAGTGGGAAGACGATTTGGACAATACATTTCAAAAGGGGTTCTACCTAAAGGATTGATTATTTTGTGGTTCGATCGATTAGTGTCTGTTTTATTGGATAAGGAGATAACCGCATCATAATAGGTCGATTCTAATTTCAGTGGGGTGTAACATATTTGATAAAAGTTCTCGAATCGAGATATTTGAAGGCAAGTGGAAGTGTGTACCTTTCTTCGATTTCGACTTGTCCCGCAACACAAGAGAAGGTTGAGCAATCAATTTCGGTCGAACTTCATCAAAAGTAGCATGACTACTCGAGAACCAATCAGTCCACCATCGAGAGAAACCCACAAGTGGACAAATAATTGGACTCGAAAGCGTAAGGGAAAAAGTGCATTGGGGTTTTTGGTAAAAGCTCAACAAGCTCCCGACTAAGTGTGGATTCAGTTAGTTTGGACTTTGGGGAGGTTTCAAGAGAGAAGAAAGGCAAAGATTGGCTCAACCCAAATTGTCTCGAGAAGAGTTGGGGATAATAGGTGACAAGCTTAAAATCTTTCGACTGAAAACCCGTTACCAACACATCATGGGTCAAATAATTACTCCATATATCTATCGACTTCAATTGCAACCCAGGAGTCGAGGTACGGAATTTAGATTTAAACCAAATCGGCCCCTAAGTTGGCCACTTGTTCGTCCAAGATTTACCGTAAATGGGGCCAAGGTTGAGTCGAAAGTGAATCCGGTTAACAAAAAATGAAGGTATTTACAGTAGGTAGCTTCGTCGGACTTATGGCGAGGGTGACGAGAGGATAATCGGGCCCCTTCTATATTTACACTCTGGGGACTGAAGAAATTCGAGGAAGGATGCTCTCAAAAATCGAGGTGAGCCACAACTGTACAAACCAAATGGGGCCGTAAAAGTTCTCCGATGCTTTAGGAGTGTTCAAGATTTCGACAGCTTCGTCGAAGGCAGCATATACATGGGCTAGCAGAAGTTTAGCCAAACATATCCTAGGTTGGCCTATGTGCAAAAGATATGCAAGGTTAAACAGATGAGAGGAAACTTGGATCGATCGAGGGCAAAAAACATGAGTGCACAGCCAATACACTAAAAATGCCACGTGCTCTTCATCGGTAACAGCTATCGAAGGGTCATCGATAAAATGCTTCTCAAGGAAATGACCATAGGCCTTCGATTCCCAATCAATTTTAGACTTCAGAGAATTATCCGAAGGACATGTACCCTTGAAGTATTTTTCCCCCGTAGGTTTCAAGCCAGTAATAGCCGCGACCTCAAAAAGGGTGGGTGAAAGTGGGCCACAAGGCAACTCCAGAGCATGTAAATCCTTGTTCCATAAGTGCACCGCAGATAGAAACATTGCCATGTCCAAAAACGACAGATTGCATCGAGACAGGTGCAAAAAGTCGAAAATTCCAACATCCTTCCAGTGGCTCCCAAACTTAGTTTTTACCCTATCAAACCACCTAATGAAGGAAGATTTTTTGGAAGGAGGGCCTGTTCTATATACCTTAGAGGTAAGATTCAGAAAATCAACCCTAACTTCGGGATGATGTACAAGAGTCTGGCTAATCGAGAGGTTGAGAGGGGAGAAAATGTCATCTATAGGACGAAGTGGACCCCCAAAAGCAAAATTAACCCCTCAGCAGTGTAAGGGATAAGTACCGCGTTTCAGCAATTTTACGGGAAGCCTCCTCCATCAAAGGGACTGGAGCGAACTTCGGTTATTAATCTCCAGCAGGTTGGAAGGCAATGAGGAAAGGGGTGGAACGGAGAAGTCGAAGATTTCGACGAGGTGGCCATTTCAAGTGAGCTTAGGAAAACGAAAGGGAAGAATTAACCGATGAGGTAACAGTGGACGAAGGCAGGAGCTCAAGGGAGAAGATGAGATTGCACGTGAAGGTAATGGTTCGCGTAAAACCAGAGTGAAGACTAAGGGAGAGGTTAAGGGGAAAATCGTATAGGGAACTCGGAACGATGGAGGTGAAAGATAATAAATGCAACGTATCGTGAAGGCAAGAGATCGACGAGACAACGACATAAAGCAAAAAAGAAACCCAAAACCCTTTTAACCCTAGAACCCCGTAAACCCTAAACCCTAAATCCTGTGGGCCTTCCAAACATTAAGGCGGGAAGATTGAAAGAATATAAACCGCAATCATTCATATTCTTTCAAGGGGGCATTTTGTTAGTAGCAAATCGAGAAAAGCGATCGAAATCGAAGGAAAGAAATGTGACTCGATAAGATAAACAAAAATTCATTCGATGTCTAATTAGAAATATATAGCATATAGCATCGAAAAGCACAATCGAGAATCGAATGAATAATAATCAAATGACTGTTGTCGAATAAAAACTAAGTCATATAAGACCAGGGTTAAAAAGGAATCATAAGCAATTCGAAGTTCTCGAAAAATACAGAATTGAGAGTAAGGAAAGTCAATGTGGACATCGAGACTTTGGCCAAATCGTGAAAGGAAGTAAGTCGAATGCACGTATAAAGAGCAGTTTTGAAATCATGGGAAAAAGTCGGAGATCGTGAGAACGTGGGAAACTATAAAAGATAAACGGTCATACGCACGTAGAACGTGGTAGCAGTCGTGTTAACTGCTCTTGGAAGGCTTGAAGGATGCCCTATAAATGGAGCAAAGGAGGAAGGAAAAAGGGGGAGCAAAAATTGGCAGAGAACAGTAATCAGTAGTGAAAAGTCTACCGGAGAAACGACGAACACCATGAAGCTTCCGGCAATCTGGATTTCCTTGCTCACCGAGTACATTTACCGCTTTCGTATTTTCCTTGGTAATTTACTTTGATGCAACTTAAATTCAGCGAGTCTTATGTTTTCGTATTTTCGATTCCTTGTCCATTTCAATTCAATGCAAATTTAAGTTTATGCATTTAGGTTTCCATGATTTAACATTCTTGCAATCTCGATTTCCTGTCATTTACTTTTCTTGCAATCTCGATTTCCGTCATTTACTCTTCTTGCAATTTCGATTTCTTGTCATTTATATTTGCGCTGTTTTCGATTCCTTGCTATTTACAATTCATGCAAATTTGGGGTTTTCGCACTTTACATTTCCTCGCAATTTAACATTCCGTTTTTCGATTCGATAGTCTTAATGCTTTCGATACTTTAAATACAAAACACCAAAAACAAGCATTTTCGATATCCCGTAGTTTTCGATTCTCACACACGTTTTCGATTGAAAATCAAATTGCTAGCCTAAATAAAAAGAACTTACGTGGTAGAATTTTGATTAGGACCAAAACACCCTTAGAATCGATATCGATCGAAATTCCACCAGAAACAAATATAAAGGCAAATTATTTCAAAATAACTTTTTCAGATCTTGTACAGGAAGCTTGTAGATTTATCATTAGCTTCCACTTTCTGGCAGTAATAGTTATTTTGTAAAAGAGTTTTTTGTTGAAGAAATTGAAGATGAAGAAAAGACAAGGTTAGATATATGGTGGCCCTCAGATCTCAAAAAGCTCAGTTTTCATGTACTAACCACTCAATATCTCTTTCACTTCCAACTATTTGGTGAAACTACTTGTTCATGTTGGATCAAATTCAACACAAAAACACAATCTAACTATTTTGCCTCATGGTCATAAAATTATATATATATATATATATATATATATATATATATATATATATATATATAATTTTATAAAGATAATATTATTTTAATTCACATATTTACCATTTTTTTTCGTTTCATACTTTTCAGTTTTTGCTCTTATTTTTAATTATAAAACATGTTCTTATGATCATAATAACATTATCTTTTAAGTAAGTAACAATGAAGTAATTTAGATAACAATATTATTGACAATGATAATTAATAATAATATTATTATTATTATCATTATTATTATCTAAAAGATAAAGAAAACATGAACCTTGTGAATAATTGATGAAAAAAAAACAATTCTGGATATCTTGATAAATATTTTGAATTATCGTTTGAATCTTATCATCTGGAATTTATTGAGAAGAAGTTGATTCTATTTGAATATGGTATATAATGAGATTAAAAAGAGCTTAGATTTTTATGACTGTAGTTAAAATATATGTAATGATGTATAATTCATTATCATTGAAAAGTATGTGATGTATGATTATGATTTTAATTTTAATTTGAACGTTGGTTTTATATTATATATACTTAATATCATTTAGGGTTTAGAAAAATTACTTAATAAAAGTAATAAACTTTTAAAAAATGATTAGATAAATATATATAAACTTGTTCTAATTTACATGCATGATAAATATTCTCTAAACATTCACAAACTAGATTATTCTAATTTTACCACGAAATCAAAAGTTAAAACTCAAAAGTTGTGGATCAGATCACTAAAACTAAACCATATAATAATGCAATCCAAAAGCTGAATCAAACTTCTATTTTATCTCATCTTTCTCAGTTCTTTCTTTTACACTTTCTCTTTAAAACTGGAACCTTTCTGTCACATCATCACATTCAATTTTGCACTTAACTTTGGTGCAACACTTTTAGTATTCCCCCTTCCATTTCTCCACGTGCACTCCACGCTCTGACTTTGCGCGTGCTCAAACAATACACTGCACAACACAACATCAACAACAACAACAACTGTGTTGTCATTCCTTTGAAGCCTTGTCTTAAGTCTTCCCACGCATTTTCCTCTTTCTGTGTTGTGTGTCTCACGTTTCAACAACCAGAAGAAGCTGTGATGGGAAGGCTTGCACCATTATCTGAAGAACCCATCAATGAAGAAAATGAAGGAAACAACAACTCAAAGAAATGTCTTCAATCATGGAGAAACTGGAACTGGATCAAGACTCACTTTTCCCTTGTCTTCAACAAGAAGTCTAATCTCAAGATCCTTCTAAGTGTATTGGGTTGTCCTCTCTTTCCTCTTCCTGTCCACCCCATATTACCCCTCAATGAGGCAAGCCCTTTCCTTCTTCTTTTTCTTTTGTTCTCACTCTTGTTTCTGAGTTCAAATGCTCCATCACCATGCAAGAGAAGGTGGTGGTACTGTTGTCTCTTGAAGACTTCTGTTATATGATATAATATTTCACCACCATGAATCTTTGTTGAAACAAGTGTCCATATTTAGTATTTGATATATATCTAAAAGTAAGATTGTTATCTCCAAAGAAGAATACCAGGTTGAAACCAAGAAAAAAAAAAAAAACTTTACATGAATAAAGATGATAACTAGATAAAAAATAAACCATCAATTCTTTTTTTCGCTTTTTATGGGTTTTGTATGTCTGAAAAATTGAGTTCTTTTGTTGTGTGTTTCAAAGATCATGGAATCATGATAATTTACCTTTTTTTTTTATTATTAATTGTTATTGAAATAATGTTCTTTGTTGGTCAAGATTAAAAAGTTAGTTGAAAGTGTTAGTTCTGATATACATGGAACCGAACCTCTTTAATTTTTATGTGTCTGCCACCAGTTTCATCATGTGACCATGTGATTACTGTAAAGGGTGTGTGGTTAACATATGAAAGGATGATGTATTTTTTAAAGGAGAAAAGACGAGACATTTTAAAAACATTTTTTTTCTTCATTTGTCATGTATTATTAGGTGTCATCTTCGGCACAGTACATTATACAACACTTCAGGGCTGCAACAGGGTGTAGGAAGTTGGAGGGGACAGTGAAAAATGTGTTCACAACAGGGAAAGTGTCAATGGATGTGGTTGATGAACTTGGATCCACCAGTGGTGGGGTTAATTTGGAGAAAGGGTGCTTTGTGATGTGGCAAATGGTTCCAGATAAGTGGCAGATAGAGCTGGTTTTGGGTGATCAAAAGGTTCTGGCTGGTAGCAATGGTGCTATTGCTTGGCGCCACACCCCTTGGCTCGGAGTGCACGCGGCCAAAGGTGGCGTCCGGCCTCTCCGCCGTGCACTTCAGGCAAGTTCTTCATCTTCATCATCACCATGTCACCATGTCTTGTTTTAATTTTTCAACAAATTTGGTGTTGTGTTTGTTACTAGTCCTGTTATGTTGGTTGGTGTAATGTTATGCGTTGGTGGCACACCTCCAAGGTGGTTTTAGAACTGAGTTACAATTGTCTGCTAATGGTAGGACATAATGATGCTGAGTATGAAAATATTATGTCAGTTTCCTCATTATAAAGAATGAATTGGTATGACTTATGACTAATCCATGGCTCAATGAATTGGTGGGGTATATAGCTTAACATAAAGTGCAAGGGTAGAACCCCTTTTGTGTTAGGATGGTGTTTGGAACTTATTATGAGAACAAAATACAGAAAAATGTATTTGAGAATGTGTGTATTGTAATAAAATCAAATACTTTTAATTTGTTTAAATAGCCATAAATCCCAGTGAACACTGTTGTTCATGTTAATTAATACAGGGCTTTCAATATATGCTACCGGCCAATTTAATGAATCTTTGATTACCTACTAAATTTCATTTATTTGTTCCATCTAACCACATTCCTGTGTTTCCTTTTCATTATTTCTCTGCTTTCTCTTCTTTATATAAATTGATCATCACATCAACCATCATGTGGTTATTTTGGCTTAACTTTTCGATCAAGATTCTTTAACACCAAAGCCTATAAGAAGACTAAAAAAGAGAGTTGAATTTAATGTTCACACACAAAACATGAATGACATTGATGACTTTCTAGCCTTCCGGGTCCACTATGCAGTGAGACTGAATTCATCAGCATCTATAATTGTATCTTGGTGTATCTACTATTTGGCACTGATTTCAGTGGTTCCGTTCTTTAGTGACACTATGGTTTGTGAATTGCAGGGACTAGACCCTTTGGCAGTGTCTGCTGTGTTCTGTGCAGCACAATACATGGGGGAAAAACAAATCTCAGGCATAGATTGTTTTGTGCTAAAACTCTCCGCTGATCAAAAGGACCTTGTTGAACGCAGTGACAACACAGCTGAGATGATCAAGCATGCCATATTTGGTTACTTCAGCCAAAGAAGTGGACTTTTGGTGTACCTAGAGGACTCTTATCTGACCAGGATTCAAGCACCAGGGTCTCACCCCACATACTGGGAAACCACAATGTCAACAAAAATTGAAGACTATAGAATTGTAGATGGTGTGATGATTGCACATGCTGGCTCATCAACTGCACTTGTCACCAGGTTTGGGGATAACCTGAAGGCTGGACCAGCCATCACAAGGTTGGAGGAGTCATGGACCATTGATGATGTTGCATTCAATGTGCCAGGGTTGTCCTTGGACTGTTTCATACCTCCTCAGGAACTGCAGAGAGATTGGAGTTCAGATGATGATCTAGATTGGAAATCATCACCCTTGCATAGATGATTTGTATGTATGGAAACTTGTAACATTTTAGTGGTTTTATTTTGGGCTAAACAAATGGTTGATGATGATGATGTTAATTGTTACTTAACATGTATAATAATGCTTTTGTAATTGTATCAATCTATCACATATTCTGGGGTTTTAGATGCTAGCTATTGGTTGTTAAAATGGAGTTTTTTTTTTTGTTTTTTTTTTTTTTTTTTTAGTTTGTTTTAATGTATCGATAAGAAGATATATTTCCTTAAAATTTCATAACATTAAAGATGATAGCATAAATAAACTAGTAGAAAGGCAATTTAAAACACTATGATGCACATTTTGACCATTGCTCACTATTTGCCTTGAAATATTTTTATTAATTTTAGTCAAATTAACTTATTAGTTAGTTAAATATAGGTTACAAGTTATTAAATAGTATATCAAACAAATTCTAATCACTAAGTTAAATTAGTAAGTAGGTCATTGAGTTATATCAAATTTTTCAACTAAACTTCTAAACTATTTTAGAATCTACAAAATAAATTTTTAAGCTTTAATTATAAAAAAAATGACATTTAAATGATACTTTTTATAAACAATCAATTATATTTTGACAGTTTTTTGAAAAGTATATTTTTATATTTTTTAGATTTTAAAAAAATATTTTAACATCATTTATTTTTTATTTGTAATAAATTTACCTTTAATAACTTTTATACTATATAAAGATTATAAATAATTGCATTTGCGATAAAAAAAATATCATTAGTCTTCCTTTTTGTAGTAATTTGATTATATAGTATTTAAAAACTTAAAATTAGATTATATATCCATATATACTTCACTTTTATCAAATAAAACACAATTCAATCTTTTATATTTTTAAATAAAAAAGAGATAGTAAAGTAGTAATTTACAACAATGGAAGTTTTTTTTTTTTTACAAAAGTGAAAATAATTATTAGTGTATATTTAAGTTTTTTTATCTTTTATTATGATAATAATAATAATAATTAAAATAATATTAACCTTAATAGCTTAAATTATTAACTACGAACAAGTCCACACCACCGTGTAAGTAAGAGACATGAATCACACTGTTAATGTCAAACGATTTGAGAAGTTTCCTTTGAAAAACATCACAAGAATAAAAAATGGCTGTGGCCTCAAAATTCTCACGCCGCTTCTTCAATAATCCGTTTCCCCTCTTCTCCTTCCATTTCTCATCCTCCACAGCTTCATCGTTGCCGCCTCCAATCCGAGTCGCGCTCACCGACTCCGTGGGCCGCGCCGTCTTCGCCACGCGCTCCATCGCCGCCGCCGACCTCATCCACACCGCCAGCCCCGCCGTCTGCCACCCCTCTTCCGCCCGCCCCGCCTGCTACGCCTGCCTCGCCTCGCTTCCCCACTCCCAACCTCTCCGCTCGCCCTTTTGCAGCCAACACTGCCACCAGCGATCCAAGGTTTCTTGTCTTTCGTCTTTTCACATTTTATGCACGAGTATCAAGCACGCACTCTCCTTCAAAATAGAGAAAATTTGGATACAATTTTGTAGGAATTATCTTTCGTTTATATGCATTCATAATTAATCAAGTATTTTACTATGCGGGTTTTTATTTCGTAGTTATAGGTCGTGGTGTTCTCTTATACTACCATAGACAATGTTGATGGTTAGTTTGCTCCATTAACATGTGTTTCAAGAGGATATTTGTTTCAAGGTTGAATGGGAATGAGTATTTAAAAATGCGTTTAGTTTAAAATTTGAACATTTGTAAGGTATTTTTAAATTATAAAATAATGGAACAAAAAATTGGTCGACATGAAAGTTACAATAGGGTTGAAAAATAATTTTTCATATTTCCTCAGGAATTCGACTTTTCCATCCCTCCTCACGAGTTTCATGTATAGGCTAACTCTTGGTGTTTGTTCGGTGGGGCAGAATTAATTTGGTTGGTACTGTTGAAGAAGAAGAGGATGAGAATTAATTTTAAAATATGATTGGAATCACTCTACTAGTTCTTACCTATTTTTATATTATTTCTGTTTATTTTTCTTATCAAATTAATTAAATTACAATACTTTCAAAATGCTATCTCTGTGCTTCTCACCTAATTCATTTTTCTTTTTTTAGCTATTTCTCTTTTCTCAACTTTTTTCTTCTCTATTTCTATTTATTTCAGTAAAACACACCATTAATGTCCTTGTCAGGTTGATTACAAATGTGAAGCTCCGGATCTGATTGGAGAGCAACACTAACCGAACTTTTGTTCAGTGACTAGGTTTTATCACTTGAAAATAAATAAAAAAAGGAAATTTTCTAATAGGAAAGGTGTGCAACTATCCGTGTACTTGTCTACAATTTAAGTTGACTAAAATTCATTCTTGTTTCCTTGTCTTATTTTTTGGTTTTAGTTTGGTTTCTTCAAAAAAGTTTCACCTTATTTCCTTAAAATGTTGTTTCTTTTTGACGAAATTGTTTCACTTTAGTTTTGGTTTGTTTCGCATTATCAGTATTAATTTTGAATGATGTGATAAACGCTCATATAATGTGATATCTCTCGCAGATTGTCACTTATAATTAAATTAGTGTAGGAAATTGTGGAAGAACCAACTTGATTTGATAGAAACATCTTAAGGAATTAGAGTGAAGTTTTTTGAGCTTAGGGAACTAACTATGTTAAAACCAAAAAAATAAGATGAACCAAAGATATATTTTAGTCTTTTTAAGTTTTAATCTTCGGTGTTTTAGCTGTTTATTACTGTTGGAAATTTTTTATAGCTAATACACTGCCCAAAAGTGTTCTTATGGTGTTAGCTGCATGCCAAAATTGAACTTTTATACATTTGTATGGCTAAAACTTATCGTTCTCGTATCGGGACTAAAACTTTTTTAATAGGGGCAACTACAGGGACTAAGTGAAAATTAACCATTTAACATAATCCCTGTTATATGTGATATCAATTTCACAATTAATATCTGACCTTGTGCTTATATGTCACAAGTATTTTTTTAACTAACGGTTCTTTCATGTGTTGCATGGTGAACTTCAACATTAACAAATAACCTGTGTTCTAAAATACAATTCAGGAGTTTTGCAGTGAACAAATTGGAGTTTTTGCTTCTTTGCTGATTTCTACTTATTTTGAGATTTTTACTTATTTTGAGATTTTTTTTGTGTTATTTAGGGATATTACGATGTTGAGATGAATGCAAATTGGGTGGCTTTTGATGACTATTGTGGGTATGAGAGTTTCTTCTCTAGCATCAGTTGATTGACTTCTTCAATTGTGACGATTTTTACCAATCTCTTAAATATCTCATGTGGACAAAGATTTATACATAATTTTGTATTGACTGTGTTTTTGGAACTAGTACTATAATTCTTCAACCCTCCCAACAAGAGTTGTATATGTTCACCCCTTATTAACCTTTTGAATGATTGTCACCTATTGATAAAATTTTTGAACACTTTTGGTGCTTGTTAAAACTTAACATCTTAGCTTATCATTTAGTATTTTCCTGTACCTAAAATACATGTGACAATTTCCTGACCTTTTCACAAAGGACTCGTGGTTTGAAGTATCCCTTTCTGGTAAAGCGATTGGTTTGCATGGTCATATCAGGAGATGCCAGAAGTGACACTCTTGACATACTTCAGCCTGCCAATTTTACGCCTGAGATGGTCTCAGAGGTGAGACATTTAGAAGTTTAGGATAATGACTGCAAAATTCAGATAGTGGTTATTTTAGTTAACAGGTTTCTTCTAAAAACAATGAAAACCTGATTGTGAGAATCAATTAGTTTTCTTGTGAACAATTAAATGATAGATACTCAACAACTTTTCATAATTATTCTTTTTTTCAATTGTTCCTAGCACAGCTTTCTTCTAAGTGGTCACTTTTTATATAAAATATTAATTAGAGCAGGAGGAAACAATTATTGCTGTTTAAATTGGAACCTGATAAATATTATAATTGGACAGCTTTGGGTTCAGCTTTTTGCTGCTGTGATCTGTTTATACATAGCATCATTTTTCAGATGGAGGAGGAGTTTGTCTTGCTAAAGAGTGCCTTCACGAAGGCACTTATTGGAGATGAACATATTGCCTGTATCCTTGTGTCAGGAACGTTTTGTATGAAGTACAGCACATAAAAGAGAGATATAAATTGAGAGACTAATTTTCTTAACATTTAAAGTTTTAACTAAGCAATGGTACATCAATGTTTTGGCACGAATTCGAATCAATGCATTTCGCATCGAGTTGGCCGGAGGACCGTATGAAGATCTTCTATCATTAGCTGTTGCATCTGTGGAAGCTGAGGCTGCTGTTGGAAATGCCGTCTATGTACTTCCATCCTTCTACAATCATGATTGTGGTGAGTACAATTTTATCTTATTTCCCTCAATTTCTAGTATCCATACAGATATGACTTTTCTCTTTTCCCATTTTTGATTGTTTAATCAAGATTTTCAACTGGATCAGATCCTTTAAATATTTCATCAAGCACGGATGACTGAAAACAAGAAAAAGCTCACTTTTAACAAATATTTGCATTCCATGTTTAGGAGAAGTTGTTACTAAAAGGTGACATACATGTGTGCACACAACAGTGTTGACCTCCTAGATAGTATATCTTGTCTCTTACCTCGAGAAAGGAACAATCTGAGTCAATTGTTTTACAGATCCTAATGCACACATCATATGGATAGACAACGCTCATGCAAAATTGAAGGCACTCCGTGACATTGATGAAGGTTTGTCCTTGGATATTTTATTTAACTGGATGTCTTTTTTCTTGTAATTCTGTGGTTTGTAAGTACTGTGTTTGATAATTGTTGAAAAATACGTGTTCATGTTGGTGTTTTTTTGTGATAGCTATGGGGTTTTTCTGACAGTAGTTGGCATTCTGAATTCAACACAATCCATTGTGAAAAACATCTCTTTTATGCCATCAATCAGTGATAGAAAACATTGGGAGAAATCATGAAATAAAGACTTTGTCTATATGGTTTTATAAGATTTGTTTGATTGGACCCATGCTGACTGATCCTTGTACACAGTTTATTCTTCTGATATATAATGTGATTTACATTCATAATCATCTCCCATACCATACCATAAGTACATACAATGTAGAATTTAATTAGGGCAAAGCAAGTGTTATGAATTTCTATTATTATTAGAATAAAAATCGACATTCAGTTTCTATCATGATTACCAGAGAAACAAAAATTAGTGGTCTTCTTGGCAAATAACAACTTAGTACTCCCCACTTGTCTGAAATTCTTTTGCTGAATTTGCATTTATGCACTACAATTCTCTTTTGGTAAATTGCAGGAGAAGAACTCAGAATCTGCTATATTGATGCCAGCCTGGACCGCGATGCCCGACGAGAGCTACTGTTTCGAGGTTTTGGTTTTCAATGCAATTGTCATAGGTGCTTACATGGCGATTAGCTATTCTTCTCGTGTTTTCTCCTGGATTTTGCAAAATGCAGTGGCTGTGACATTGCAAAATTCCCCAAGTGAGTTAGTGTATTTTTTGGGGTAGAAGGGTGGGGTTGGAACAAGTACTAAGGATATTCATTTTCGATTTACGGATTTGAGTCAGGCACATTCCATTCTTCTTCCTGCATCAGTCAAGTCAAAAGACTGAACATTCTCCAGAAATCACATTGTCATTTGACAACATGTTTGAAATCACGTTTTTATGAGTCAAGAAATCACAAAATATTAATATCTTATACATTAAAGTTCAGTTAAAAGATGAAAATTACAATAAATGATTTAATTCGAGTGTGAAGTGCAATGTTGTGACTCGTTATGATAGAACTGAAATTAGTGCTCTGAACGAGTAGTAGTAGACCAGGTTAAACTCTAAACGTGATATTGGTGAAATGTTAACATGTGAACAAAAGTTGTTGCCATCCTAAACCCTAATACATGAAATTATATCATTTTTTATTGGGTGGTTAAATAGTGCATGATCGTAACTTTGGAAAAAGGAATTGTAGTTTTTGAATACAGATTGAAACTACAATGTGCTCTTTTGTGCCTAAATTGAAGTATAGTTCAATTTCTACGTTGCAACTACATAATATGAGAAATTTTAGTTTATCAAAGAAGTGACTTCACTCTATATTCATTAAACTAGTACCACATCTTGTGATATATATGACATAGAAGAATCACACAAAATTAGAAGTGACCGTGTCATTGAAATTTATGACATTTAGCTTAGATCGAAACAAACTAAATAATGCGATTTTTTTCTTTGATTCAAAATATTTTGTATTTGGATGATTTAGATTTATACTCCCACGTTTGTCTCCATTTAAATGCTGTTGGAACTTACGTAAATCATAATTTATAGGTATATCAATATTAACCAATAAAGTGCATGAAGACCCAAAAATAAGAAAAATGATTAAAATTTATAATTGAAGAAATGAACATTAAAAAATGAAGAATGATTGCGTTTGCCGGGAGTCGAACCCGGGTCTATTGCTTGGAAGGCAATTATCCTAACCGTTGGACTACAAACGCTTTCGATGGTGTTAGGCATTTTATTTTATTATTATTTTAAAATAATATTGATTTTTGTCCTCATATTAAAATATAAACATGCACTTCTTGCCTTACAAATCTGTGATTTTGAAAATATTGCCATGACAGGGTAAATTTGGTTAAATAGTGTAGAACAGGATGAAAGATTACAAAGTTGGTGATTATAAAAAATTTGCAAAAATGGTACATCTTAGTTCTCATTAAATAGAACACACACAAAAATATTCCATTTGTTCCGCTTATGACATTTCAAATGTTACCTAATTTTTTTCTTTTATGTAATTATTTGACTTCAGCTTATATATTCTCCATTGAATAGGTGGGGTTAATTATCAACACACACTTCTCTAACACCCAAGAATGTGCTCTTCTACAATACATCTCTCATAATATCTAACTAGATAAATTCTGGTTGACTTAATATGGTACATGTGAATGTCACATAGTTACCATGTGCATAACACATTTGATATTTATAGCACATTTGAAGCTTCAATCTTTTGTGTTCATTAGTCACCTACATTTTTTACCCTTTGATGTACATGTACATTTTCATGAATTTTATCCATTATTATTTAAATTAAGTAATTTTATTATCCATCAGGATTGTCTCAAAAAGATGATATATGTGAAAAAACAGAAAAAAAGATGACAGAACATAGTTATAACTCTATAACTAATACATATGTTTGTGGCTCAAGTCATGTTGCATCTGAAGGAGAACCAAAACCAACCAGTGTCTCACACACCCTTTCTTCTCCTATATTTTGTAGCAAAGGATAGATCATAGGAAACCACAACTTACCAAGAAGAGAATAATCAAACATGTGAAAGAAAGAGTGCTTCCTTCATCTAAGCTTTAGGAGCCTTCATGTGATGTGAGGTGTGACAATGCGGCAGAAAGAGAGTTTTTCATGAGATAGACTATCACATTTCATGAAAACGATATTATAAGTACCTAACCCTTATCTCCTTCATCCTTAAATCTACCCTACCTTCCTTTTTCCTTTCATTCATTCTCTTTGTGCACCAAACCAACCAAACCCTTCTCTTATCTTATAGACTTGAGTTTGTTTACTTGCTTTTCTTTTTTGTTCATCAACAAATTAGCTAAGTTATCAAGTCAACCAATTTTAACTGCACCACATTTAGATATCACTACCCTTTTTTTTCTCGACTTTGTTTCTCATTTTCCCTGCTAGTCATGGGGGTCTTGTCCATAGGCTATTCTTATTCCTCAAGTTTACTCAGTAAACTCATTGGAGTTCCACAAAACAGTATGTGGTACCCTTCAAGGAGGAAAGCAAATGTTGTGCACTGCCAGGGGGGAGGGAATGTGATCAAATCCTCAGGCTTGTCTTCTGTGTTGACAGAAAGATCATCATTGGTTGGCACAGATCATGCAGCTGCAACTCTAATGGATGCAGGAAGCTTGGTCTTGTCACAAAATGGGAAAAGTCAGGCAGAGATTGTAGTGAAGGATTTGGTACCTTATGGTGGACCAACAACATTGATAGGGTTGGAAGATGGAATAGGCATTGTCAAATTTCTGAGAGGGAAAAAGTTTTTCATTACTGGGGCAACTGGTTTTCTAGCCAAAGGTATATATGCCAAATATTATCATTTGTGGAGATAATATGCTAAGCATCTTTGGAGTCCTAAGTGGTTTGACTATGATATACAGTGACGTTTGTTTGCTATTAATTCAGTTTTTATTGAGAAGATTCTAAGGACAGAACCAGATGTGGGAAAAATGTACCTTCTGATCAAGGCAAAGAATAAGCAAGCTGCTATGGATAGATTGAAAAATGAAGTACGGTTTTTACTAAATTCAGAGCCTGTTAATTGGTTTGAGAAAAAGAATATCTATTTTCACATATAATTACAAAAAAGGGCATCTTAATTTCACTTTGTTTCAATATTTGTACATGAAATAGTAAATACACGATTTCTTGTTTTTGCTGTTTTTATATGATTCTTTGAAAATATGGAACAAGCTGAACATAAGATTAATTTTTTGTAATTTTGAGAAGAGGAATGAGTAGACAATGCTTTCTCATGCTAAAAAGCCCTTGTTTCTTCAGCTTGCATTTGTCAAAGTTCATGGTTTCATTTCTTGATCTCATTAAAATTTTGTTCCTGTGGTTTAGATCATAAATACAGACCTTTTCAGATGCCTTCAACAAATCCATGGAAAATCGTACCACGCCTTTATGTTGAGCAAGCTAGTTCCTGTTGTAGGAAATATGTGTGAACACAATCTAGGACTAGATGAAGATATATCGAATGTTATTGAAGAGGAGGTAGACGTCATTGTAAATTCTGCTGCTAATACAACATTTGATGAAAGGTTAGCCTCTATAATATAACTCTCCAAAAAGCTTCTCCACCAATAACACGTTCTTTGTGTAATCATTTGACTAATGTAATCAGATATGACACTGCTATCAACATAAACACCATAGGGCCATGCCGTCTCATGAACATTGCCAAAAAGTGCAAGAAGCTTAAGCTCTTTCTTCATGTTTCAACAGGTAAAAATACAAGAAAGAGCTTAAAAAATCAATGCATGTGCTATGTATGATTTACATGTATACCAAAATGACAATATTCTTTCTTGTAATGTACAGCATATGTCAATGGACAAAGGCAAGGTAAGATCATGGAAAGACCATTTAGCATTGGAGAGTGCATAGCAAAAGAAAAATCCATATCTGAAATTTCACCAAAATACCTTCCCACATTGGACATTGAAGGAGAAATAAATCTGGTTTCAAATTACAAAGGGGACAATGAAGACAGCTTACAAGCTCAGAAGATGAAGGAGATTGGTCTAGAGAGGTATTTCAGGGTCCTTGTAAAGGTTTTAAGATGTGGTTGTGGTTTTGGTTTCATTCCAATCCTTGATACTACAAAAAATTTACAGATAAATGTGACTAATGCAACCACAATTACGGTTGTGGATATTCCAAAACCTTAATATTACAACCACAATTGTGGTAGCAGACACTTTATTAAATACTTTTTTCGTAAATTATTCACTATTTATCTGTCAAATTTTCATCTTTTTGTATTAAGATAAAGGAAAACAGTAGAAACAGGAAAGCTAACCTTCCTATTCAGATTTTGATATTAAAATTCATAATCTAATTTGATTGTTGAGTTATTTTCTACACAGGGCCAGAAGATATGGGTGGCAGGATACTTATGTGTTCACAAAGGCAATGGGAGAAATGATGATTGACAAATTAAGAGGGGATATTCCAGTTGTTGTAATGCGACCAAGTGTCATTGAGAGCACTTGCAGTGAACCATTTCCTGGGTGGATGGAAGGAAATAGGTAAGTTACCACCTCTTGCAGAAAAAAAAATAAAAAATGAATTTGGGACCATTTGTTTTAGCTTAAAAAAGGTGATTTTAACATAGTATAAAAAAGTTATTTTCTGTTAGAGATTTTATCAGAAGTTACTGTTTTATAACTTGTCAGAATAATCTACAATCTCATTTTCCATTTTAAAACTGTAACCCTTTTAAATGCTTACCGAATTCTTTAAACATATTTCAAAATTTAGTCTTTTAGGAAGAAGAATCTGAACAAACTACTCTAAATTTGTCTGATGTGACTAAAACTTTCACTTTCAACTACCAGGATGATGGATCCAATAGTTCTCTGCTATGGGAAAGGACAGCTAACAGGTTTCTTGGTAGATCCAAATGGAGTACTCGATGTGGTAAGGGACATTAAAGAATTAGATGGTTTCAAATGATTCATTATCTGAAAACTAAAAGAGAATTAAACAATTCTTAAACTACATAGATTAACTAATAATTCTCAATCTTCACACTAAATAAACAGTGTTTCATTTGCTATCATCATAGGTCCCAGCTGACATGGTTGTGAATGCAACCTTAGCAGCAATGGCAAGGCACGGAGTGACCCAAAAGTCAGATATCAATGTGTACCAAATTGCTTCATCAGTGGTGAACCCTCTAGTCTTCCAAGACCTGGCAAAGCTTCTCTATGAACATTACAGTTCCTCACCATGTATTGATGCAAAGGGTAGACCAATTCAAGTCCCACTGATGAAGTTGTTTAGCTCCACAGAAGAATTCTCTGGTCACCTGTGGAGAGATGCAATCCAGAAAAGAGGCCTCACAGCTATGGCCTCCTCAGAAGGGAAGATGACTCAAAAACTTGAAAACATATGCAGAAAATCAGTGGAGCAAGCAAAGTATTTGGCCAACATTTATGAACCATACACATTTTATGGTGGAAGGTTAGATACTCATTTAATCTCACTCTTCAACTAGTGGCACACTAGTACTTGGATTTTTTTACACTCTTAACCATTTAGAAACCACAGTTGATATGACTTTTAAAATACTTATTATAAAAAGTAGATAGTATATACACAAATAATGCATAATAAGTTTATTTACTTTTTACAATGACTGTCTTAAAAGTTAGACACCAATGATGATTTCTGATTGATTGACAATGTATGAACTCTATCACATAAGTCAAGGATCTTACAATACATTATAGTTTATGATTAAATGATAATGTAAAGAAGATACAATTTATTGTATTTAAATCATAATACATAACAGTGTAAAAGGGTTTATACCTATGAGGTATAATTTACTGATATTAAACCAAAAACTGTGATGTAGGTTTGATAACAGTAACACACAAAGATTGATGGAAAGCATGTCTGAAGAAGAAAAGAGGGAATTTGGCTTTGATGTAAAAAGCATTGATTGGAAAGACTATATCACCAATGTCCATATACCTGGCCTTAGGAGACATGTCATGAAGGGAAGAGGAATGAGTAGCCAGTAACTTCTAAGTTCTGTCATGTAATCACTGCTTTTATGCTGCAACAAACTGTATTAAAATATGTGCATTTCTTTCTTTCTTGGATCCGATGGGGTGTGGCAACAACTACAACAGGGACATGTTTCATTATTTATACTGTAATTTAATAATAAGAATAAGCTTAAGAATAATCAAATTTCTGTAATTGATTACTCCCCAGTTTCGCTTAGTTACATCTTTGGTTGCAATTTTCTGTCACAACAGAAATTTGTCTAATAATTTTGTTTTTCAAGTATATGATAAGAATGTAAAATATGTTCAAATTTATTTCGAAGGAGACATGTACAATTTTGGAAACCAAAAATCAAATGATTTTCAAGCTTTAAAAACAAAAATTTTAAATATCTTTTTTAGATTTTGATATGAAGAAAAATTCTAAACCCTAATCCTAACTAATCACGGTAATAGGATTACTATCAAATTAAATATTTAGAGAGAAACTCAATAGACATCAAAGCCTTTTGAAAAATATTATTAATCAAGGAAACAAAATATATTTTTAAATTTTACAAAATGATAATTTATATATATATATATATATATATATATATTATTTATTATTAATGAAGTGAAATTTAATAAAAGTTTATTTATTTATTTATAATTTTTGAAAAATAATTTAAACAAGATATTTTTAATATTTAAAAAACTATTTATTTATGATAAAACAACTTATGTTACAAGTATTTAAAATTTAACAAATTATTTGTGTTTAAACGTGTTTAAAAAAATTGAAATTTAATGTATTTAAATACATTGCTACTCAACTAGTTATAAACAAAATTCTTAATAAACACTTTTAAGAAATGAAATAGAAATTAAAATTAGCATGAACTAAATTCAATTTATGTATAGATTAATATGTAAAAGTTATCTTACATAATTTTTTTTAAATTAGCTTAAACTTATTTCCGTGATGAAAAATAAAAAATTAACTTCATTTGTTTTTTTGTCTCCTAAAAGTGTCATGGAAAAGTTTATCTAAAAATATCCTAATTATAAGATATAACCTAATTTTAAAACAAAAAAAAATCATCAAAAAAAAAGGTTAAAGATGAAAACTAACTAAATAATCAATATACTAACATATATAAATAACATAAATATTAAAAAAAAAATCCCTAATCACCGTTTACCTATTGTTACCTTTAAAATAAATATTATAGATTTAAAAATATTATGCAACACAATATATATATATATATATATATATATATATATATATATATATATATATATTTAAAAACTCTATCATTTACAAGTATAAGTAAATATAAATATATAGTAATGGTACATCATTATACAAATTCAACCACTATAAACCATTAAAAGAAACATAAAAAAAATACTAATAATGTATGAAAAAAGTACTAGCAACACATAACATTAAAAAAAATACATTTTTTTTTGTGAAAAGAAAGAAAAATATAAAAAAAATTGGTGACAAAGAAATATAACTTATTTTGTGTTTGAAATTAATATTTATATTAATTTGATTAAAATAAAAAAAATAATAATAAAACATTAATTTGGGGGAAGGAGGAAAAAAAATATGCATGCTTTATATGTTTGATCTTAATAGAACTGGAAGGTAGATTTTTCTAAACCATTCAAAAACTTTATAGACAAACCTCTTCAGGTTTAGTACATACTCCCAAATAAAAGGTTATGTTTTATTTTCATTTCAGGAATTTTTACTAGATACTTATTATTATTATTATTATTTGATTTAAAAAATACATACTATATAATTTTAAAAATATAAACTACAGAGAATAATTGTTTTCTATGATTAAATCATCCAAGATGGGTATGCATCAAGAAAATACTTACTCCAAATAAGTTCATATTTATTCTCATTTAAAAGGTCAATTATCAAGGCCTATTTTTCTTTTCTTTTTTTTTTCTATTTATGCTATACATGGAAGAAAAATATATATAATCATGACACATATTAATTGGAATGGATTTTGTTATTTTAACATATTAAAACATATCTATAATTTAGGTTTTGCTTCGAATGATATAAATGTGCACAAATTACTCAACCTGAGACTTGATCCTCACTAACATGAGTCAAGGCAGAAAGAAAAGATAAGAATAAAAAAAATCTATAAAATCAAAACGTTCATAAAAGTTCTACAAGCTAGCGTCAACCCATAGAACAATTTTTTGAAAGTAAAAAATCTACTTCAAAAGAAGTTCAAAAAGTACTTAAATCTTTTTCGGTGGAAAAAAAATTACTTCAAATATTGATTATTCACATTATAATTCATTTATAATGATTAACGTTATTTGATTAGTCGAAAGACAACTCCTTCATCCAGTAGCAATTTCTCAGAACTAGTAAAATAATTTCGTAGCCAAAGTGCCTGTTTAGACTGTCATTGCTTTCTCATGTAGTTCCATAAGATACACCAAAAATAAATAAAAACCTTTGAATTGGTGTCAGAAAAAAAGTGATGCAAATTCTGCTGATAGTCCCAAGAAAATTCCTAAATTTTTGTAGGCATAGAACCATAGAAGTTAAAAATAATGTTTTTTTGAAATTACACACGCGCAAAAGATCGTAGGGTAGTAGGTTCAAATTATGAACAATTAGATTTGAAATCTACGTCGGATATTAGTATGACCTAGACAGCTCTATGTAATAAATTTATAACATAATTAGCAAAAACAAAACTGAATCACTATCATAATGCAGCTTTATCTGAAAATTGATAGAATAGAACAAAGCAAATCATCAACAGATAAAAATCCCTTCCTACTAAAGACGGGGTAACACAAACAAAAAATTATCCACATTTCGCCGGAATAATACATATTCTGACACGGCCATCATCTAGGAGATTTCTCCAAAAGGATGTCCAGCAAGTTCTTGTGCGGCACAAAAAAACAGGAATTTTACCTGCATATTTTACATCAAAGCAGTATTGGGCAGTCACCAAAATGTTTGGAGTGCGTACCCATAGATTAAGTGCTTACAGCAATCTCATCAATGAAGATGAGGATGCACAAACTACTCGCAATTTGTGCAGAATGAGTTGTAACTGTGACATCAGTATGATATGCAGCAGGAACATCATAGGAAGTAATCAGGCGTTCTACGGGTAACATCGGGTTCTCCTCTTCGGGGAGCAGGGTCAAACTGCAAGAACATTTCAGATTTATGCCAGCAATTCAGTGAACATGAGAACATTTTGCTATGCAGTATTGAAGCACATTTATGTTAAAAATGAGAGTAAGAGAAACCTGAATAAATGTGTGGCCCTTGGAATCGTCAACCTCCAAAATGGAAGCCATGTTCCCACATCGGTAACAGTAATTAGGTGCACTAAAAATGGTAACCACCTTCTGTTCCTGTTTCAACAAAACAGTTGACGTCTAAACTTCACTCCCTTAATTCAAAGCAAACAGACAAAAAAGATTATTCCATGAGAAAGTCAATTACATGAGCCCAGTTAAATCCATCCATAACCAGCTGATGAGCTCTAGCAATTAACTTAAGCTTGTTTGAGTGATTAAATTGCTCAGATATGTCCTGAAAGATAAATATGAATTTCAATTAGTAAATAAAATACAGAAGTCAATCTCTCAATGCTTAAAAAACAAACATATCCAACAAGGTATAGAATCGAAAAATTATATCTTTAGTTACCTGGCCAAAAGTATATCCTGCACCACGAGGAGAAATTCCCCAGCCGCACCTATCATCTGGATCAGACCACAACAGATCACACATCGGCCCTTCGTGAGGAACTTCTTGAACGCGATCAAAGTTCCTTATGTTATCAAGAGTCTCAATTGAAGGTGAAAGCCCACCATGCAAACAGAATATTTCAGACTCAACCTGAAAAGGGCCATATTAAATTAGAAGCTAAATGATAAAATACCAGAACTGTGACCTTCAACTACCAATTTTCTACCATCATGGCAAGAAGACAATCACTATAATGAAAATGAACGGCAATTGAAATATTTGCCAACTACAAACTAACAGAACAAACTTGGGTGTTTAAATTCACTAACATGGAGTCCAGTGTAGTTTCACGACCATCATCTCATGCTTAAAACACTACATCACTTTTAAAAGGCAGAAATTTTAAAAAACTAACTAATTTGGAAACATAATCAAGTATAAAACCCTATCTATGCTTGCACAAACTACAAGAATTTGTATTTACCATATCGTATCTTAGTGCGGTATCACACTCATCCCTCCAACGTTTTACTTTCCAAATACAACATGTAAATTTTCAGTTAGTTTAAAATTTGATTAAATGGGAACTGCTCTAGGATAAAGAGTTTTTCCAACCCTCTAACAATTGACCAAAAAGGGGAAATATTGATAGTTTTGCCTAATCTAGGACAGAATTTAAATTTACATAACCAATATGTAGTTTATTCTCAAAATTTATTGTCCTTTACATCGGTTAAAATCCAAATGAGTAAAAAAAAGTATACTAACCAATGCAGTCAATGGAAAGAAATCAAAAAGATCTGTAAAGATCTTCCAGACATGAGCATTACCATACCTGCAAAAAAACAATCATATCGACTATTATGCATTTAAAGGAAACATGGAACTAGATAAATCTATAAGATATTGTTTTATGATCAATTCATCCATAGTCTCATAAAAATGAACCTAAAATAGAATTACATCCAGATCAAGTCAAGTTGTATCTTGATCTAAATCCAATCAATGTTGTTGTTAAACGGCATGGCAAACTTCTTGCCAATTGCCATAGAGATTAGTGAAGGGTGCTTTGCTATAGGCTACAATGGCGTGTTTATATGGCAGAATATTGATAACACTGAGTCCAATTACATATGATGTTCAAATTTATTAGGGGTGTTAGTCATAATGTAGCTCATGCTATTGACATTAAGGCTGACAATCCTAACAAATTTCTATCAATATTTATCAAGCCACATCTATTAGCTTATCACATTCATGGATGCATGTGTTACCTTTACATAGGTTTGGATAGAAGAAAAGAAAATACGGAAGAAATTTCTAAAATTTGATTATTCTTGCTTGGTTGAAAAGAAAATAAAGAGAAAACTGAGTTCAACAAACAAGAATGTCAAATTTTCTCTCCAATTCAAATTTCAAAATTTTCTTTTCTCCCTTATTTTCTTTCCCCTCATCCAAACAAAAATCCAAACTCAAATCTCTAAAGTATTTAAACCTTTCATTGTAAATATATTTTACTTCTTTTTTTAACAAAAATACACCACTGGATGTACCAGAACCAGCACCATACAATCCACACTTAGACATAAAGGAAGTAACTTGACAAAGCATATATCTTTTCAATAGAAACACAAAATGAGAGCAAGAGTGATTAAAGAAAGATTTGCAGAGATCACAACAGATGCATCTTCAATCCTCCCTCAAAAAGCACCATTTTCTAGTTATTAAATATTTTGAGCAGTATTCCTTTCTGAAGGATAACTTGCTTAAATTTGTTGTTACCAATGCCAACGGGACAGACATACTGATGTTATCAATTTATCTAGGTCATCTAGTATGCAATATTGGATCCCACTAATTATTCTTTACCCATGTTAACAAGAACAAGACATTGTATGCCAGTGTGTGTGTACCCCTACTCAGATGTTGCCACATATCTCAAACAAAATAATAAAAAAAACGAAAAAAAAAAAAAAAACATCTAAAAATAGAGGATCTGGTGTCACTTGGTTGAATACAGTGTTACATAGCTGGCAAAGCTCAGACAATCACTCTAGTTTAGTGTGTGTAAAGATACTAGCAAATCAAATCTAATTATAAAATTATACCAAAGAAAAATGCAAGAGACAAATAAAAAGAATTTCCCAACAGCCTACAAAGTATATAGTACATGTCTTGAGTTTATAACACAAGTTCATGAAAATAACAGAGTCTACATTCGCAATAAAAAAAAGTCTAACTGAAACATATGCAAGTATATATATTGCCCTTAAAAAGAAGTATCCCCTTCCAACCCCATTGACCTCTAAATGAAGGTGTTGAAACTCACTTTCTGAGGCACTCATCGTAAAAACCATACACTTGAGTGATCTGTGCAAAAAAAATAAAAAAATAAGAAAGGAACAATTAGATCAATGTACATGTGCCTTAAAGTCAAAGCCTTAATGGTCACCAACAGCACATTATGCAACTAAAAAACTTCCAAAGACAAGTTAAGTTTTGTGGTTTTAAAGAATACAAAAACAATTTACACAATAACTCCATAAAAAAGTCAGAAAATAGGACCTAAGCAAACATATTTTTGATTGGAAGAAAATTGTGAATGCATACCTGACGACTTTCATGGTTTCCTCTAAGAATAGTAATTCGCTGAGGATATCGCACTTTCAGTGACACAAGAAGCTGGAGAGAATAATTAATTAGTACCTCTAACATACAATACAGCAATATCAACAAAAGATACCAAGATATGCTAAAATAAATAAACATGCATCTAACTTGACCATTATAATGTTATCCAAGGGACAATCACAGCATAAATAATATCCAGAAAAAAAATTTTGCAATCTTTTAAATGTAGTCAGTCAAGTACATGAACAATGTAACATTAATGGAAAGGAATTTACAACTGATGATTGAACTCTACTAAATTAGATATTTCAACCTTTAATGATCTCAGAAATAAAAAATGTCAGTTAAAAAACAGCTGTCCCACAACCAATGCTTCAAATATATTAATTTCAAATTTGAGATTTCATCGGAATATTACTTTCATAAACCCCAACAATACCCAAAAATCAAAACAGATACTTTCACCTAATATGGTGCAGTCTTATTTATAATATTTATTTATCAACTGCAAACCTTCTAAACCTGACTTTGTGTAAAAAAGGCACTAACAATGCTGCATAGTGAAAATTATAATTATATTTCCTTGTTATGTTATAAATAAATTTGAAACTTGAAAGGAGCTACTTGCCATTTGGTGATAATCCAATATTCTACTTCACCCTAATAGCAAGATGCAACTTGAATGCATACTCATACTTACATAGATTTCGCAAGCCAAAAAATGTGAAAAACATGAAATGCAAACTGCCAAAGAGGTTCTTTAATCATTTTTTAGGTTCATTTTTCTATTTGGAGGGAATAAGAGGGGATGAACAAGTTAATCACAAAGCAACAACTATTAATAGGTGCAGAATATTCAACAAGTTTATCTTCAATGTACTTACTGTAACAGTTTCAACTGAATAATAACCCCGGTCCACGTAATCCCCCATAAACAAGTAATTAGTATCTGGACACTGTACAGAAAACCAAAAATCTTAGATTCCATGTCTAAATAATCAGCAAAGTATAATATAAAAAACAAAAACAGAAACCTTATCACACAAAGATTGATTTTGCACCAGTGACACATGTTAGTAAACTTTAACGAGGTAATTTAGGGTTGAAGTGAATTCAAGGATTAGTTCCCTGGTTATAAAATCTACTCCACGATACCTCTGAAGCACTTCAATCTTCAAAAGCCTTTTCTTTGGCATGTCTCAATTAGTTAGTTAAGACATTCCCCAGCTGAAACAAAGAGTTGAATACAATAGGAAAGTGATGGTCAGAACTGATACCTTCCCTCCAATTCGAAATAGTTCTGCAAGATCATGAAACTGCCCATGAATATCACCACAAATTGTCACGGGGCTTTTCACAGGCTGTGGTACAAGAGAAAGAAAAATTAATGCTTTCTTTCTCTAAGAGAGAAAAATACGTGCAATTATATTTTGCATAGAAATATGATATTTATAGACATCAGAAAAAGTTATACAGCACAAGAATTTACAAAAAAGAATGATAGAATGAATTATTTGTCCTACTCGAGTGAACCACGATAAAAGTAACAGGCAACAAAAGTAATAATATTAAACAGATTAACCCAAATAAGGGAGAAACCCAAAACAGATGATGCTCAATAAGCAACAACAACTCATTTCTGCTACAAATGATTACTTCTCATGCAAAGCAATGACAAAATGAAAAAGCATTGAAAAGTAAGATCAATTTCTAGTGAAATATTAACACATAACACAAGAAGTAAAAAAGAAGAATGGGTTGCACCTGAACATTACTTTCATCCATCAAAATCTCCTTAGCCTTCTCGCATAAAACCCTAACCTACAGAAGAAATAAGAGAGATTATTTATTTTTAAATTATTTTAACAAAGATGATAATAGTCCGAGAAGGAAATATTGGAGACAACATACAAAAAATAACAACCACGATTGTGTTGTTAAAACAATCCACAAAAGGAAAGATAAAAATCAACATCGGCATACATTTTAAGGCAAATAAATATCAAAGAACAAATAGGTCAAAAAGAAGCAATGGAAGTTATTCATTTCCCATTTAAGTCAATTTTCATTTTCAAGATACAAACTTTGGGAGGTACGATCTTTTGCAGGCAAAATAAAAACAATACATCCTTATCCCCAAAAGTAGCCAAGCATGATATTATTATAAGTAGACTAGATCAAAGAGGTAGCACCAACAAAATGCATTAAGAAGCCCTTCAGTATCGCGCTTCAATGTACAGGCAGAAAAAACCCACAGATGTTCAAAAGTACTGTCAGGCAAGACGCCAACAAAAAACTTTGACAACTTTACACACATAACTCTTAGTAAGTTATCACAATGATATATAATATACAAGAAATAAAATTACTTCATCTCGCTAAATACATTACAAAACTTGCAATACTACGTGAGAATTCTGATCCAAGAGTCAAATGCTCTTCAAAAAGACAAACAGCCATGGCATAATGATCCCAAACATTTGGCCTGTACAAGGTTCAGACGAAAGCAACATCACCCTTATAAAGTGAAGAGAATACTTTTGACAAATACCGCGTATCACACCATCACAAGGACACAACTCAAATAGGCTGTTTGGCTGTGCATCAGTTTAAACAATACTCACGTCAAATTCCCCCATCCAAAGTAGAAGCTATTCCATATAGCTTCTGAATTTTACAGTTTTTCTGCCCGTCACTCCAAGGGAAGCCCTCCCGGAGTATCAAATACACACAATCCTAGACTAGATTTTCTAATACCAAACATGCCAAACGGGAAACATCTCACAACAACATATTCAGTCCCAAGATAACGAAGCAATTCGTAACATCCACATACCATAACCAACCATCCATAATAAAAAATTATTTCGAAAACCGTGAAATTGAACACCTAAATTCCCTGTCCGACTCTCCGACTACATCCAAATCCAATCAGAACTACAGGAAACCACACTCAAGATTGCCGAAAATGAAGATCGGTTTTATTTTTATTTTTCAGAACAAATTCCATTTCCATCTCGATCCTACCAATTCTACCACCCTCGGCGATTCCAAAGCCGAAAAGAGAGCGAACTAAAAACAACCGCAAAAATTAACAACCGGACAATTTCAGGCGAACAATGAATTCCGCATCGAAACGAAATGGATCGTTTCGAACAAGGGGAAAACAAACCTGCTGCTCGGAGAGCGGCTTGCATTGCATGAGTTGCGAGATCTGCTCGTCGAGATCGAAGTTGGATTCCGCCGATGGCAATGAATTGGCGCCCATGTCGCTGTGCGATTGGATTAGGGGAAATGAAAACCCTAACCCTAACGCAGAAGGTGATTTGGTTTTCTCCGGTAAGGGGAGAGAGCAGAGTGAGGAGTGAGTGAGAAAAATGGAGTGTTATGTAATGGCGGTTGATTTGCACAAACAATGTGCTCTCTCTCTCTCTCTCTCTCTCTCTCTCTCTCTCTCTCTCTCTCTCTCTCTGTAAAATGCACTTTTTGGTTTTTTTTCTTTCCTATTTGATTTTTTTCTTCTTCCTTTCCCGTTCTCTAATAATCAGTTTATCATCATTGCATGCTCTTACGAGGAGACCAAACTAAATTTTATTTTTAAAATAAAAGGTTTTGTTATTAAAAAATCACACATTTCAAAAGAATATTTTAAAATAATAAAAAAGAGAGAAAACAGATAATTAACTTGAAGAGTATACTCTTTTTTTTGTAATAAAGATAGCTAATTTTAAGAATTTAATCATTAATTTTATTTGTTAAAAAACTGACACAATTAATTTCATGAGTTTAATCATTAATTTTTTTCAGAAACTGAGACAAATAATTTCAACAGCTTAATCATTAATTTTATTCTAAAAAAATTGAGACAATTAATTTTAATAATTTAATTATTAGTTTTATTTTTCTAAAAAACTGAGACAACTAATTTCAAGAGTTTAATCATTAATTATATTTTTAATAAATGGAGACAGTTTAATTTCAAGAGTTCAATCATTAACTTTATTTAAAAAAAAAGACTGAGACAATTAATTTCGAGATTTTAATCATTGATTATATTTTTAATAAATAGCAACAATTAATTCCAAGAGTTCAATCATTAATTTTATTTTATAAAAAAAACTGAGACATTTAATTTCAAGAGTTTAATCATTAATTTTAATTTTAAAAAATATTGAGACAATCAATTTCAAGACTTTAATATTTAATAACAAATAGAGACAATTAATTTTAAGAGATTAATAATTCTTTCTTCCACTTTCCCTCGAAAAAAAAATCTACATGGTAAAGGTTCTCGTTTAAAAGATAAATGTATTTGAATAATATATATATATATATATATATATATATATATATATATATATATTAAAGAGCATGTTACATAATTAGTAATTTTACATAATAATTAATTTTATTGATCTAACTGCTAAATTATAATTTATATTATCATGATTGTCTATATTAAAATTTACTTCAATTGAATAAGAAGATTAAATTATTTATGTTGTATATTTAAAAATTACACACTATATTAATTTTAATTATATAAATGATATATCAAATAATATTAATTAATATATAATTTTATGTATAATTCATATGAAAATAAACTACAATATAGTGATTAAATTCAAAAATATAAGTTAATGGAAATATATTTAATAATGTAATATTTGATAAATCTTGTAATTATATATACTGTGAGAGACTTTTGTTCTCACAGGTCCGAGAATACCCTATATCATCCTAATATAGTGCCTAGTTACTCCTGTGTTGATTTCTTGCCGGTTAAGGGACTTTTTTTTTTAGAGGAGATTGATTTGTGAGTACTCGGTGAGCTCTTACCTGAGATAAAAAAAAGAGCATGTGGTGCACATAATAGGGATTTAAATTATAAATAGGAATTTCTTCTATTTATAGTATTGTGTATGGGTTGTCTTCATAAGTTTTGGCTTCTTGGTTGTCTTGTCTCAACCGTACGTACACGCGTGTTCATGGAATATGTCGTGCGTTACATTTTTATACAATACTTTTGGCACAGACCGTACTTGTGACGACGTCGTCATGTTTTTGCAATGTGCGTAGAGTCATATGTCTACCATACTCGTGGCTATACATTTACTATATACACTTATGGTACATGCCTCCAAGTTTGAAGGAACCTTCTTATCAAGATTTTGAGAATTTTTCGTATCATTGACCATATGACAACTATTCCACTGATTATTTATTATTCCTTAGGGTCAATAGATAATAAAGGATCTCAAAGGTCTTTAAAAGGTGGGATAATTAAAGATATTAATATAGGTTATAACTTCGAGTAAATTTGGTTTAAGGTGGGTTTAGATTATGTTAAGTTTGAATTTTTTTATTTTTATTAATAATAAGTTAAAAATGAATTTAACTCACTTAATTTATAGATTAATAGTTTTGAGTTGGGCTATGGTGAGTTGTTATGTAACCCATATTTATTTTAAATTTTAAAAATAATTATAATAATTGAATAATTTTAATTAATATTATCCTGCATTTTTACCTATATTTCAGCTGCTATAAATTAAATACTCACTCAAGGTCATCAATTATCCGTCGTACAACTATGTTCATCGCTACATCTGGATTGTCATTCGTCCATTATGTCACTGTGTTCATTTCATTGCATTTGTCACACTATCATATTTAAGGTATGTCACAACGTTTGTCATGTTTTAGTCTCGCGTTTCAGACACATCATAGTGTTTATCGTATCACAACGTTTTAGTTATGTCATATTTGTTACGCTACCACGTTTGTTGCACCACTATATTCGTCATACTATCATGTCACTGTATTACAATTACACCATAGTATTTGTCGCTTTTTAGTTACATCATAATGTTTGTTGTTACATCGCGTTATTGTACTAAGCATGTTATAATTACTTAATTTACATTTACCAAACTGCATCTAAATAGTTGGTCGCCTTACGAACATTTAGGTTGATGTGTGAGGCTTTATGTTTGAAGCCAACTCTTATGGGGTTCCTTCATCACTTTAGCGCACACCTAGGGGATCGGGTTGGTTAACGTTCCCTTATTGGTTACCTGTCAAACATGTTTTTTGAGTCATATACTTTATTGTTCAAGAATTTTAAAATGAGTTTCTTTAAAGTATAAGTAGAGAAGAATGGACGACATTATTTTTATGATGGGGAGCATACCATGTTTTAATTTTATTGAACCTCCGACCCTACTTGTTCATAGGAAAATACGTTTGTGATGATTTGATGAAATATGGCAGCTCAGAGACAACGAAGTTAAAGCAAGAGTTAGACGAGTCAAGTGACACCTTAAATAAGCATTTGGAAACAAACTTAACTTAAAACGAGAAGATGCAAGTTCTCCTAACGAAGGTGAAAAAGGTTGAGGAGAAGCTAAATACGACTTCAACCAAGAGGTCAAATTGGCGCACCAAGTATTTGGACATCAAAAGGTGTGAGGCGATATTAAAAGAGCAAGTAAGCTTGGTGGAACAGAACCTTGCAGAGATCACACTATCCAAGGATGAGGAGATGGAGAAAAGGAAGGTAATTGAGAAGGAGATGAAGAAGTAAAATTTGTATATATTAAGGAACTAGGAGATGGAAAAAATGGAGGTCATTGAGAAGGAGATGAAGAAGTAAAATTTGTATACAATAAGGGACGATGAGATGGAGAAAATGGAGGTCATTGTGAAGAAGATAAAACAATTAAATTTATATATAATAAGTGAGCATGTGTAAAACAAAAGTAGTCAATTATTCAACTAATAGCATGTATGTATGTTAAAATATTTGTATACAAGTAAAAAAAAAAATTGATTGATTTGATGTTGTAGGTATATTATTGTAACACATGATTTTGTATTATGTGAAAAAAATGTATGAATTCATTTAGGGATGAGATTATCTAAATCTTATGTAAGTTATGATAATATCATTAAGGATAATTTTCATGTTCGAGGTATTGTCTATTTTGGGGCTCTCGTCTATCACGATTTTGTCCTTAAAAGACGTATTGGTGAGTTAAGAGAAAATGATGTATATAAATTATCTTTAATCTCGACTCTTAAGCGATATAAGACTCGTAAACGTACCAAAACATAACCCCCAGTCAAGGACTAAGGGGTATGAATGGAGCGAGACCCAGGTCTCGACCCCACGATGTTGCCAATGTTTTATTTATAAACGAAAGTGTTTCGGTTTCATGTTTATTATGATAATATCGTCGAGTTAATTTTCATATTTAAGGTATTGTCTCGCTTTGAAACTTTTATTTGTCACAATCTTATCCTCAACAAATATTTCGATGAATTAAGAGAAGAAGATATATATATAAATTACCCTTATTTTCGTCTCGTAAATTATATGAGATTCATAATCATACTAAACTAGAAAATGTCAACCTTTCCAATTATCACTATTCCCTAAGTTAAGACTTTTGAAATTTATATTAAATATTTAAATTAAAATAATATTTTCAAAATTAGTTTAAATCTTTCATAATATTTTTAATTAATAAAATATAAATTAATCTATGGTAATAATATATCTTATATATTTTATACATAAAAAATAACCATATATAATTTTAACGATAATAAATAGGGATGAATTTAAAACAAGAATGTGAAAAAGTAAAAGTTACTATGTTATATTTTTTCTTTAATATAAAATAATAAATAAATATAATAGAAAATGTTATTTTTCTTTTACTCTCTTAATTGTATAGCATTTTAATTTTTTTTAATTATTTTAAAATCCTGTTTCATGTTTATCTTTTTTTAACAATTTATAATTTTATCAAGGAAAAAATAATATTTTAAAATTAATGTATACATTAAATTTTAATAAACTAAAATAAAAGTATAATAAAAATGAGGACAAATCAGTGTTATTAAAATATTTATAAAATTAAATTTCTACTACCAAATTAAAAAATTAGAAATTAATTTTATATTATAGCCATGAAATTTTAATAAGATGTTTATTTTATTCTTTATACTGTAGTAATTTCATAAATATAATATGTTTTAAAACTTTATCTATCCATTTTTTTAATATTGTTTTATTAACCTGTTTACACATATAATATTGTAATTAGCTTGATAAATATAATATTATTAAAAACGTTTAATGTATTCAATATTTTTAAATATTGAATTTTTTAAAACAAATCTCCAGTGTACTGTTAATATAATATATGTCCATTATATGGTATAATACACTATTTATAATATACTTGTCAAAATATA